TTGAAGAAAGGAAAAAAATTTTTTTCCAAAAAAAAAAAAAAAACTTTCCCCCCGAAAACCTTTTTTTTTTTTTTTTTTTTTTTTTTTTTTTTACCATTTTAATTTAAGAACAAAACATCTTAACATTTGATTAACGGCATGTTTGGTCTTACACTTTTACATAATATTAAATTTTTAAAAAATGTTGATTCAGCTCAGAAACTATGTAATAGCATACATCTTCAACTTGGGATAGCTTTTTATTTTATGCAAAAACAAGTAATTGTTTTAGTAGAGCAGCACAATGAATGAGGTTCGGGTTTGTGCATTTCTCACATTGTAAAAAAGTTTATCCTTTTCTACTCCCCTTTGGCCATATGTGTAATTGGAAACACATTAGGTTCTGATCTGTTGTAAACAGGGTATGATCTGTTCTTGATGCAAGCCGCTTTCTGTTATGCAGTGAGCAGTTCACACATTGCAAATCAAGGTCTCAGAAACCAGCTTGACTGCAGAACTGTGAATGCATCAATCAAGTTATGGGTGCAGTTAAATAGATGCGAGTGTGTTAGAGTTTAGCATTTTTTTTCTGTTATACATTTTATATTTTATTGATTGCATTATGTTGTTCTGTTGATTTGTATGGTTAATGAGAGCAAAGTAATAAAATTGGTCAAATTATGTTTCTAAACACATCTTATTTATAAGTTTATTTTCTCCTACATAGGCCCATATTGCGCAGTTTCTTTCCTAATAGATGGAAACATGAACCCGAGGACGCCATTGATTTTAAAGTTCATATTTCAGTTCACCATCTAGAATAAAAATATAAAACTGAATTGTTCTACTAATTAAATGACATGTTCAATTAGATAACTTTTCTTGTCATGTTGTTGTAACAAGTTAACAGGTCTTTAACTCAAAGAAGTGTTGATTTTTGTAATAACTGTAATAACTGAGTCAAGTGTAATATTTTAACCGACTTCTCCTCCAGGAACAGCATATTTTTTCCCCAATCAGATTCAACTGAGTGAGATTTAGAAAGTGGCTGCCTTGTGCCTCATCAAACCACAGCTTTTGTGCTAAAGTGGAATTAGTTCATACTCCTACTCGGTCATGTAGCCGCACGTTTTGAGTTTGAGCAATTGAAACCTGTCTTTCCAACAAAAATCTGTTAATGGCTCGTCTAGATGCGCATTTGTGTGCTTTCTGCTTTAAGTCTTACAATCACATCAAATGAGTTGACGGCACATCAAATGAGCAACAAGTTAAACCCCAACAGCTGCAGACGGAAATGTGTATTGTGTTGCTGGTACTCACTTGTGGATGGCGTTCTTCAGATAATTCTTCAGCCACCGCATCTCTGGGTTCAAACACACCTCCTTGTTTGACTTCAGCTTGGCACTGATTGGAAAAAGAAAGATTTTTTTCTATTTTTAACAAAAGCAAAAAGTAAAAGAGTTATATAGACCAAATCAGCATCAGCGGCGGGTATTTTAACACTCTTATCAAACAGACTAAATTAAGATGGTCTTGTTAGCCTGACCCAGGCAAAATTCCTGTGACCTGAGATAGTGTTAAAAAATTAGGTTTGTTGGTGCAGATTAAACAAATTTGATTGAAATGTCTCATGCAAAGTAAACAAAATCACCAAGATGAAGGACACGTCTCTTTTTAAGCAAACTGGGTGATATTTATGGGTTCTGTTGCTCTTTGAGTCAACTCACAGCTTGGCCAGTCCTGACTAGTTAGAACCTCACAACAGTAAAGATGAATTGAGAAGATCAAAGGTATTTTCTCTCGTGGAGTGCGCTGGATTAAGACAATTTGGTAGCTTTTTGAAAATCTGAAGCCTGTGTTATTTCATCACACAATAATTCTAATCATGCTAATTGCTGATTTAAGACGCAAACAACAGCTTAAAATATCAAATGATGTGTGTGTGTTTTTTTTTTTTTTAAATAGTTAAACCTCTTTTGGGTATCAATCACAGAGAACACACGGTCAAACCCTCCTGCAAGTATAAATAACCAATGATGCCTCAAGAAAAGAAAGCTGGAACATTTTTTTTGGGATGATTTTAGATTGAATCATCTAAAATTCATATTGGTAGTTTCGGCTGTACAGTTTTTGAGTTTAGCAGACAAACTGCTGTGTCTCTAGTATTTCCCTCTCCAATCACAACATGATCTATGAAGGATTTACTTGCTTAACAGATCATTTTGTGCTTTCAGTGCAATTTGCAGTCGTTAATAAATTACCTACAAAACTGTAAGAATAAACAAACGCCGTTATTAATGTTTTCCTGCTAAAAACCAAACTGTATATATTTCTCTCTAAATTGTCACCCCAACCCTTCTCTAAAGGATTGCTTCCTGTGGATGCCTCAGTGAGCCAGTTGTACAAATGTTTCACTTTTTCTGAGTGTATGTGTGAACGAGTGACAGAGGGGTGTGTGTGTGTGTACATATGCATGCGCGACTCCTTTCTCTGGCCTGTCACTTCTCCGAGATTGATGGTGAGAAATACCCGAAGACAAGAAAAACTGACTGAGTTTTCATAGTAGAATAAGGAAACTATTTCCCTTTGAACTCATTATTAATAAAAATAATAATAATAATAAAAAAAACACCACTTACATCACTTGGAAGGGACAGTTAGGAGTGTGGAGGAATCTGAGCTCTCGGATCAAACCTTTCGGGATGGTGTTAATTGTTGCACGGCAATAGCATCGTTCAACCAGGCTGATGGGCTTTGCTGTGAAAGCAATGGGGGAGATAAGTCAGATGAGACAGAATTTACAGGAAAAGGTCTTTACAGCAAGTGATAAAAGATTAAACTAATGATTGCATCAGGAAACTTTAGATTATAAATGTCCTGTTGAAAAGAAGAAAGAAGAAAAACATTTACTAGAACAATAGAAAGCCTGAAAGTTATTCCGGGAAGAAAAAAAAAGTAAAATCACTCTTTTATGGACTAACAAGGTGAAAAACCAACATGTCAGGCATTGTTCTGTTTAGATTTGAACTTCATTTTTACAGCTCATTACTTTTTCTCCTACTGGGTCACGAAATCTGCGTGATGACCACCTCTGAAAAACATTCAGTCCTCTCCATCAGTGATTCGTGCTTTGATTTCACGCAGAGCAAGCATCAGGATGCAAAAATGCAGAGGTCTTTGCGTAGTCTTGCACTGTGTGGTCTCCTGTGATAAAAGGGCATTCCGTTACAGCGTTGGGTTTCCTGTTTATGCGTAAACGTTCATGGCTGATCTACGTGGGAAAATAAATGCAGCACGTTTTCTCAAATTTCCTTCATTTAAAAGGAAAATTGTGCTTAATAAATGTATGTAAACTCCGTGCAGAGGGGGTTGATGGAATCAAAAAGGAAATGCTTTAATGACCTTTTGTCAGTATGCAATGATTAGCTCAAACTAACCAAATTTCACGCAGCAGATGGCTGGATGTGTCGCAACAGATTAAATCCGATGCAAATTATTTTTTACACCTGATCTAAGGGGTGCTGCCAGTAGGGTATCAGTCAACATACGGGGTGACCGGTGACGCCGCGCTGACTAGCGCTCGTAACGCTTCACTTGTGCGTAATTAAAGAAAAACAAAGAGGACATGCGATGATAAGATACCAAGCGATCAAACGGGGATTTTGCTTTCTCCTGCTGCCACAGCCACATGTGTGGAGAGATGGCTCTTTTACGCACAGCATAAAAATTCACCTCTGCGCGCTTGAGCAACCCACACGCTCATTAAATAAACAACTAAAAGTTAAAATAGGAATTAATGGTTCAGCATTATAAAAGCAGCACTAAACCTACACTTAAAAAGTGGGGAAAGCAGTGTGTTCACTTATCAGAAACGTGAATTCAATTACAATTTCTGTTTATCTTTTACAAAAGCAACAAACAAACTATATAAAAAATAACTGAAATTACACTTTTTGGTGCATTTACATGCATTTTAATTTCTACTATTTTGTGAACATTTAAAATTAATCGAAATAACTTGCAGATTCTTAAAAAAATAGCAAATTAAAGATCAAACGGAACCCAATTAAGCAAGCTGTACCTTCAGATGGAGGCGAGTATATCACCACTGTCAGTGCAGCCACGACGGCCAGTAGCTTCACATCCATGATTCTGCGTTGAAATCTCCGCGACCCGAACCTGTTCAGGATAAAGTCCAGAGGAAGTGTGGCAGTGGGGACCCTGGCGGGGAGCTAAATTACGCACCGCAATCAAGCCACACCGACAAAAGGAGATGGCTTCCGGTACATATAAAAGTAAAAGTCACCAAACGGAACACGTGGGGTAATAAACGAACTGCCTCAAGATATCATAATGAGGAGTACCAGCAGAATTAAAGTGATTTACATGCTATCTTTGTATTTGGTGACCAGATTCAAAGTGCATCTTGATGACAACTTTCTTTTCAGAGGGGATGTAAAGTAGAGTTCATAGCATATGTATTTAGGTGCAGTTGTTATTTGCTAAAAAAAAAAAAAAAAAAAAAAAAAAAAATAAAAA